TTTGTTTTGTTTTGTTTTGTTTTGTTTTGTTTTGTTTTGTTTTTACCCCTCTGTTTCCCACCTACAGGACCTTTGGGGTATGGACTGTGACCAAGCAAGACTTTCCTGGTTGTCATAATATGCACTAATTTTATTTTGGCCCAACAGTAACTTACATATTGATTATTGGCCATTGAGGGAAGGGGTTAAAGAGCCAAAGTCAAGGTCCATTCCCCTGCTGTTTTCAACAATGCCCACATAAATATGTTTCAGCCATGTGGATATCCGTTTTCAGCATACAATGGACTAAGTAAAATGGCTCCCACATATCTTAGTAAAAGCCCTTCATATATCATCCCTCCCTCATATGGCATGGGCATCCAGTCCTCTGCTGACCAGGAACAACAGAAATGTGGAGGATTTAGAGGCCGGCACGAAGGGTATTGCCATCATGTTCCCAGCCTTTGGAACAAAGGAGGGGGAGTTTTAATCTTAACCCAGTATACTTTTAAAATCCATTTATTGTAACCTTAGTGCATCCTGACCACACATAAAATTTCTGTGTGAAGATTTTCTTCATGAACCTTCTACAACCTTTCTTTGCATTTAGATTTTATCCCAAGCCATTTCTCTCCAAATAACCAGTCTCATTTAGGACAAAATTACTTTTTTTTTTTTTTTACCTTTAACAAAAATATCTTTCCATTTCTTATATCTTTCTTTCATATCTCCTTTTCTACATACAGAGTTGCTTTTCTTGTTTTTATCAGTTTTAATTACATTTAGCAGAATTTTAACTCTTTGAAACCTTAGTCTCCAGTGAAAACTAAGTGGTAACTAATTGTGTACTTTATGTTACATCAGAATTTTTTTAGATGGCAAACTTAAGAATCCATTAATCATAAAGCATGTTTTCCCACAGATCCAAATATCTTTAGTTTCTCTGTAACAAGTCAGAAGCACAAACCTACATCTAGTAATTAGTGCTTTAGCCTCTTATCTCGTTAGCTATCTAATGAATTCAATCTCAATTTATCATGCAAGCAAAACTTTAATGTTTTAGGTTACCAATGACTTTGAAAGCTATCTTAACAATTACCCATGAAAACTTTGAGACAGACAAAATTAACCATCATTTTAAGTCACCTTTTTGCTGACAAATTGCAACAGAGATAACAGCTTATTTGACCTTTAAAAAACCTTAGGTAGAAAAAAGTTTTATATATTTACTGCTGATAATTCTAAAGAGTTGTCTGTTTTAAACCAACAAACTTAAATCCATTTAAATACCAAATATGTTCCATCTGTGTCCATTTAAAAGTAAATCAATCTGTTCCCCATTGTCTATTTTTACCTGGGGCACCAGTGGGGAAATATGAAGTGTGTGGTCTTTGCTCCAAGACCTCTAGGATGGGAGAAAGGGCTGATGGTGCCTGAGGCATTGAGGAGCCAGTGATGCAGGCTGCCCCCCAGGTGGTGTGGAAAAGGAGGGGGAAGGGAAGGCAGAAGAGGAGAGGTATGAGCAGAAGGCACAGAAAGAGAATTCCCAGTTTTAAATCTTATCAGCTCAGACAGAGAAGCAGACTCCAGGTTTCTTTTGTTTTGTTTTGTTTTCCACTAGTGGAATTAGGCAGTCTGTGTCAGTCCAGAGAAGATCAGGAATTTCCCCAAAATAAAAGTAGTTTCGGCAGCTTCTTGGGAATATTCCTTAAAGTCCCCGTTCTGAGATAGAATAACCAGAGACAGTTGGCTCTAATTATCATAGTCATTGACCCAGGAAATGAACAAGAGACAAGTCCCCACACACACTCACACAGCAACTCCAACCCGCTGCCCAGTGCCCAACACCTTAGAGTTGCAGCTCCATTCCTCGTCCCTTGTAGAACTACTATGGCAACTCTGGGAGGTGATCAGGTTCCCCTTCTGCCTCTTAGGGGCAAGTCTGCCTAAACGAACCCAGGTTATTACCAGTCTGACAAGGAGTGCTCCCTGAGCTGGTTCCTGGGCCTCATCGGTTTCGTTGGCACACACGGGGTCCTCGCCTCGGCACGCTGGGAGGGCTGGTCTCCTGCGGATCAAGCAGTCCACTGGCGCCAGGGGAGGCCGCCTTTGCTGGTGCCCTGAGGTTTGTATCCCCAGTGGCGAAGGAGGTGGAAACGCACCATCAGATCCCGGACGAGCCCCCAAGTAATATAGCAGGATTCTCACACGGAGTCATGACACCGAGGCTTTTCTTTCCAGGAAGCAACTTTATTCCTACCAATACCGCTCAGTTAGGTTCATACCTGAAGAATTGAGCCCTGAAGATCATGGCATAGTTTTTTTATATATTTTCTATTTCTTTGTCTTCCATTTATGGTGACACACACAAACATGTAGTCTGATTAAGTAGTCTCAGTTTACAAGGTCATGATGTTGTCACATAGGTGCATAACCAGATTACCTGAAGTGGTTTTTTTCCCCTCTCTTTTTTTCTCTCCTTAGGGAGGGGACCCTACCACATCTTGTCTGTGACATTTTCTTGGTCTTTCTTTCATTGTCTTAACACCTTTTTCCCCATCATCTACGTCATCATCCTCTCTCTTAATTCTTTTTTTTTTTAATCATTTATTTTTCAGAGAACGCAATGGGGGAGGGATAGAGAGAGAGCGAATCCCAAGCAGGCTCTGTGCTGTCAGCACAGAGCCCCATATAGGGCTCAATCCCATCACCTTGGGATCATGACCTGAGCCGAAACCCAGAGTGGGAAGCTTACCTGTCTGAGCCACGCAGATGCCCCAATAGCTTTATTGAGATCTAGTTTACATACTATAAAATTCACCAATTCCAAATGTACAATTCAGTGATTTGTAGTGTATTTTTACAGAGTCGTTCAGCCGTCACCCCACGGCATCTTTTTAAAAATAAATTAGGGAATATTCATATGAATAGTTTGGAAAAATTCTTTTCTCCTAGAAGTAACCGTATCATTTGATGCATACATCCTTGTCAGCCTTCTTGAATGTGTGTATATATGTGCATATAAAAACGTACGATTTTGGTGTGTAGGTTAAAAATACAACCAAATGAAATTACACTTTATCTGTATTGTTTTTTCACTTAAGATCATGGGGACATTTTCCAGGTCAGCAAGCTCAGGGACGCTGAGCCTTCTTACCTGCTGTGTGGTGATGGAAGAGGTCCTCTCCGAGTGGACCTTGTGGTCACCTCCAGTGTGTCTTCATCACCAACAATATCTTACTGACGCCTCTAGGGAGAGCGTGTCTTCCCACACTCCCACCAACACTGGATACAATCCGTTGTTCTTCCTTGTGTGAAACATAATTTTTTTCTCATTGCTTCTTTGAGAGAGAAAGAGATTGTAGGCATGGGAGGGGTCAGCGTTGAAAGATCTTACTGTTGCTACTCATGTTCTCCTGTTTTCCTTGAACCTTTTGGAACCAAGACCTGGAAAGGTTTCCTTCCTTGTTTACCTGTTGCACAACTTGCAGTTGAAAGGGACGGTGGTGTCACTGGTTTTCCCTGGGATTCTATCCAAGATGGGAGAAAACTACAGACACGTGTATTTGGCCTGCTCAATTTGGCCTTTAAAACATCTGTGGGGATGTAGCTTTAGATGGTTTGTGGCAGAGAATGAGGGTATGAAGGGGGGTTTATTAAAAATATGAAGCATGTTCGAGATTGAAGTTTTTGAGCCAACGGCCCTTCCAGAGGTAGAAGAAAAAGATCCCTCTTTTTGGAACTGAGAGAGAAGCCAGCTTCAAAGTTTCTGTGGTAGTAATTGATTGACCTGTGGGCACAGTAAGTGGAGCCACCAGCTTAGCAAACGTTTTTCTTAAGTTCAGGTGTTGGGAACTCTGCCCTTGAATCTCCTCCCTTGTGCCCAGGTGACCTTGGCCAGGCTTGTCTGTTCTCTGTGATCCTGTCGGGCAGCAGACCTTACAGGCAGTGTGTGGGCAATGCTTGAGGACTGGGCTGGCACACATGTCCCATTTGGGCTTTGGAAGTTTATGTAGTTACTGTGAAAGAGATTGTTTTTGATAATCACTGGACTCACTCAGTTCTTAGTAGATGGTTACAAGGAGCGAGCCCTGTAATAAAGAGCCAGCTTAGAAGGAACCTCCCCAGTTAGTTCCACTGTTTCTCTCTTCTCTCTTCCCTGTGGCCTCCCTTGGCCTAATTTATGGCATACCAATGGCCTTCCTTTTGAATCTCTGCATAGGATGGCTATGCCTTTAAGGTAAGGGAGGTCATTTATATTTTTGGAATTAAATGGAGGGAATTTTTTTTTTGAAAGGGAGAGAGTCTTAAGGAGGCTCCACACCCAACACATAGCCAACATGGGCCTTGATCTCACAACCGTGATATCATAACAAAGGTAACTTTAAATATCCTTGCAAGTCATGCCTGGGTTTGATTCATAATAGGGATAAAACAAACAGTGATGACATCAGCAGAGTAGTTACTTAGACAGAAGGGGCATGTTGGTCAAGGGATTTTTGAAAGTCCTATTTAGAGTTAATCTGAAGAACACTGAGACCTGACTGAGTTTACTCCTGTGATGCGGGTGGTTGCTTCCAGTTTGCAAACGCGGTGCTCTTAGCATATGTGTGGAGAGATAGTCCTGACATGTGCCCTCCTGTGAGACTTTCCCTGACGTGTGTGTCTGGCTTCCTCCCTCTCAGAGCCCCTGTTGCTGTCGGAGTTGCTGCCATGTCCACAGCCGAGATGCTCACTTCAGGCTTGAAGGGAAGGGGCTTCTCTGTGCTCCACACCTACCAGGACCACTTATGGTGGGTTCCGTGTTCCTTCTGTCAGAGAGATGGCTGGCTGGGGGGATAGAGCACAGGGCCTGCATTCACAAATGAGAGCCTGCGTCCCTGCCACGTCCTTCTGCAAGTTGCTGGTCCAGATATTAATTTCTTTGCTAGTGTGGAAAGGAAAAATGGATGGATGGATGGATGGATGGATGGATGGATGGATGGATGGATGGATTGGTTTAATTTTTTTTGTTCTTGTTCAGAGAAAAATTGCAGAGAACTTTGATTATTTTCCAGGTGGATTGTAGAATCCTGGGCCTAGAAGAAGGCCTTACAGACTCTCTGCTCTGCTTTTCAGTACAGGGATATTCTTGTTTTATATGGCTTTAATCAGTGTGGTTTTATCTGCCACACACATTTAGGCATCTTCTTGCCCTACAGTGACTGCCCCGGTGTTCTCGCTTATGATTCCAGATCAAAGCAGAGTAGACCTTCAGGCACCACAGTCATGACCTGATTATTTTTGTTCAGATTTCCCATTTCCAGTCTCCCTATTGTGGAAGTTACGTTTTCTCACCATAACACTTGCTTTCTCAAGCCATGTACCAGTTTATTTTCTGGTTATTTTCTTGTCATTTTTACCAAAACAGTAATAGTACTTTTCTCGAAAGCACTCTGCCTGGTCTTTAGGTTGGGTGAAGTGGCCTGTTGGCATAGACACATCCTTACATCTTCAGCCCAGCGTCGGAGTCCCTCATTTGATAAGTATTGGCCAAAGCCTGCTGTGCTGCAGGTACACCCCGTTGGCCTGTGTGCCAGCAGATATGTGAGGGCTGCTTCCGGATGTTCTCCAGGCACCTGCTGTTCTGTCAGTGTGAGCAGGGCTGTCGGGGTCACACTGCTAATTGTTTTACCAGCAGCGGCTCCGTTCCCCTTGCCCACGTTTTAAAAAATTTGTGTACTTAGCAGAACAGCCTAAATGTAGAGTCTGGCCTCACTATTAACACTACTACGAGACGTGCTGCAACCCTTAGTTAGAACTGAGTTTGCTTTCCGTGATCTTGCTCCACGTGCTCTGTACGAGGCGTTGCTTTTTTCCCTGTCTTCCCGAGACTCGGTGGCATAAAGCCACGTAATCTCCACGCTGCGGGTTAGATTGCACCCTGACATCACAGGGAAGCAACTGATTCTGCAGTTGTGGAGCAGGCCAGGGGTTTGTTCCTTGACAAGTACTCTGAGCCCCGGGTTTGTATTTCCCCACACTGGTACTGCAGGTACCTGTGCATCTTCCTGTTTATTTAATTCAAAATGTTTTATTTTTAACTCATGTGAAGGGGATACTGTTGGGGGCTTCTCTTTTAACTACTTTTTCTTTGATCTGTCCTTGTCCCCAGATGTATATTAGTGACATTATTATTCCTTTGGGCCAGGGAGGAAGCAAGAATTACCCTCCCCATTTGAGAGATGAGGAAACTGAGGCAGGGGTTTTTCTGGGCCCAGAATTAGAAATCCAGTTTATTTTATATATTTTATTTTATTTTATTTTATTTTATTTTATTTTATTTTAGAGAGTGTGAGCGCACGCAAGTTGGGGAAAGGGGCAGAGGGAGAGACAGAGAGAGAGAGAGAATCTTAAGCAGGCTCCATGCTGAGTATGGAGCCTGACATGGGGCTCAATTCTACGACCCTGGAATCACGATCCGAGTGGAAATCAAAAGCCGGATGCTCAACCAGTGGAGCCCCCCCAGGTGCCCTGGAAATAGAGTTTAGATGGGAGCTCAGACTCTCTGCTGTCTCCTGGACACCACTGCCATGGCTCCTACTCTCTCTGGACTCCCAGCTGACCCTGAGCAGGACTGGAGAATATCGTGGCTGCTGCTTGCCGTTTCTGACATGCGATTTTTCCAGGCGATCTGGAGACAAGTCTTCTCCACCTTCCCTTGCTCCACTGGCCCTGGATCCCCCAGATCTCAGTGAAGAGAAGGAGTCTGTCCAGGCAGACCCCGCCCTGCAGGGAGACCTGAGGCGCCTGACCCTGGAGGGAGAGGAGGAGAATGGGGAGGTTCAGCGGATGTGTGGGGAGAAGTCCCTATCAGAAGCCTCGGAAGACCCCAGTGTCAGGGGCCTGAACCCAGACCCCACAGACAGCAAGACCCTTCAAGGTATAGCTCTGGGAGTAGAAGGACCCACTTCCTGTCAGTTTAGGAAACGTGCTTTGCTATGCTTCTGACTAGAGCAGCTCTAGGAGAACAGGAAAGTCCTTGTTTTGGTGAGGGTAGTTCAGCAGCCCTTTGACATCTGACCTGGAGTCTCTTTCACACCAGTCGTGTTTCCCTGGTGCCGGTCTGTCCTGGCACTTGGACTGTTTCCAGCCCCAGAGGCCTCCACGGTTTTTTTAGGCTCTGACTTCTCTGTCAGAGAAGCACTTGCTCCTGGCTGGGTGGGACCTTGTGGCTAGACCTCTTCTCTGGGGTCTGCCCTCTTGAAAGGCTCAGTGCTCAGAAGCTTTGGTGCCCAGGATGGCCAAGGGGCTAAGGGGGTGAGGCAGGGGTGGGGCTGGGCGGGGATTGTACTACACTAGGCATTCTGTATCCGTCAGAAAAATATGGTTCTTGTCTTTTCCTTGCAGAACAAATGGATGAACTGGTACAGCGATGCTTCTTGCATGCTTTAAAATGCCAAGTCAGAAAAGCTGACCTCCCTTTACTCACCAGCACGTTCCTTGGCAGCCACATGTTGTCCTGCTGGTATGGAAGGCGTGGTGGGGGCTGGCGGCCGGGGCGAGGGCTCTCTCTTGTCCCTTGGTGGTATGTCAGGACAGGGCTGTGGGAGAATTCGTTGAGGGACATGCTGTGGAGAGAGTGGCGTGGAGGGTTGATCTGGCAAATGAATTTGGTCCTGAGTGTTGAACACTTCAGTTTTAGCCAGCAAAAGGATGTTGATTCGGGTTAAATTCCCCATATTCT